TTTTTGTGAAACATAATGATAAGATATCACTACACCTAGTTCATAAAGAACCCAACTATATGAAACAAGTAATATAATATATGAAACATTAATATAAAAAATCGAAACACCGTACAAACAAAACGAAACCACAGTTGTGACTATGAAAAAAAACATTGACATATCTAACAAACCAAACGAAACCACAATTATGACTATGTAACAATAACTATGAGAAATGAAACAGCAGTCATTGATATAAGGTATGTAAGAAATGAAATAGTATACCATTAGTATATGAAACAATGCACATATTGTTTGGAACATATATATAAATAAATGAAACATAGGGTGTGATTTTTTGAAACATAATGTATAACATATCACTACACCTAGTTCATAGGGAACCCAACTATATGAAACAAGCAATATAATATATGAAACATTAATATAAAAAATCGAAACACCGTACAAACAAAACGAAACCACAGTTATGACTATGAAAAAAAACTATGATATAAATAATGGATTTAATTTCTTAATATTGAATTAGATGCATTCTTAAATTTATGAATGCATACGTCACGTGCCGTCTCTAAAAGATTGTATAATCCAGCAAAGTATGTGAGGGATATACAAAGAAATCAGATGAAATTCATCTTCTTGGATACAAAGAATCATTAGGCCGTCTCTCTGAAAGATTTCTATATTCCAGCGAAATGTGCGAGGGATAAACCACATTGCAAGATCCATTAAATAATCGTGACTTCAATGAAGAAAACTTTTATTTGATGTATTTTTATGTAGTTGAAAATTTAAGATTTCATTTAATTTGTAGATTCGTATGGCTTTTTATTAATTTTTTTAAAAAAATAGCTTCTAACGACTAACGTTTATTTTGCAAATGTAATATTCCATTTGTTCTTTTTTTTTTTTTCACCGGCAAACCGCACCAATGATCATAAAAATAATTTCTCTACAAAATGAGCCTACCATTCTCTTTTTTCTCCTCAATCACTGATTTATCCAAAGTAATATATTCTTACTTATACACAAAAATGTTTTTCCAATTTCCATTCATTTTCAATTAGCCTTCAATATGAACAATTATAATCAAATTATTTAAATAACATGAATTTTGAGAGTGAGGGATAGCTCAAGTGATTAGAGCTCTCCTCTCAGTTCCAAGAAATCTTGGAATCGATTATTATAATCTGCCTATGTGGCTTACTAAACACCGAAAAAAAAAATAGTATGAATTTTTAAAATAATCCAATTTTTTAATATAATCCAAATACCCCCCTTCAAACTGCTTTACAATGATACGCAATCAACCAAAAGCAATAAATCTCAATTATATGCTCCCAGTTCATCAATTCATTATTTAAAATAGCTCATCATTTCCCTATGCTCCCAGTTCATCAATTCATTATTTAAAATAGCTCATCATTTCCCTTCACAAGATATCCCATTATTTTTCATGTCTTGCATAGTTTATCAATGTAGTGATTGCCTATTTTTCAAATGACTACCTTCATAACCCAACAGTGGAAGACCCCTAGCATATGCCTAAAGAAGGAGAGGGTAGAGGTTTCCTTGGCATGTTGGGAAACATCAATTCTATGTATTAGGTATGAAAAAATTGTCCAGTTCAATGGAAAGGTCAGAATGGGTCATGAAATATCTAAATGGCTACTATCATATTAGAAGCAGTTGTTTCTAGAGATTTGTGGAGTTGTATGCATTATTTTAGGACACTAGGATCTTACAACTACATTTATACACTTCAATGTTCTCCGGTCTTTGGCGATATAATAAAAAACTATGCTCCATAAGTTTAGATTTCAAAGAATGGAAATGCTTATAACAAGGGGTACTATATATCTCACAAATGGGAGTTCTCCAAAATGTTCTACATTTATCGATGCCATCATAGCTCCACAACCTTGTAAATAAAAATTGTTTGCTGAAAGCCCAGAGAGTGCTAGAAAAGATGTTGAGCATGAATTTGATGTGCTACTAGCTCGGTTTACAATAATTAGGAAACCGATATAAAGTGTAGACATGTCGTGGAAAATCATGTGTATCATTATCCACAACATGATACATATCTGGATTATAAAGATTCACGTGAAGAACCGAAAAAGCTACAACAATTATTCACCATTACACCTCGGTCATTATGATCCAAAAAAATTTAGTGAATTTATGGCTACAAGCCTACTACAAGTCTACAACCCTTATCGTTACACATCAAATTGGTCCCTTTTGGATCAAAATGACCCCTCAAACCTTAATTGAGCAATTTTTTCGACTTATAAATAATGGCATGTAAATCGAAGCACAACTTAGCAAGTAAAACAAGACATTTATAATAATTTTGTACCAATTTTGACCTCAAATTGAATCCTCAAGAGTCAAAATGATCCCCCAAAACCTTAACTGTTTAAAACATTATTTTTCGCAATTGACTTCAAAGGTTCTTATTCACAAAGTCTGCCACTTAAAAAGTCGTGTTTGACAAATTATCCTTTATCAAAAGATTTTCTTTGATGTTGCGAAAGGAAAGATGATGAATACATTGGAAAGTGAAGAGTAAAAAGAATGTACATAATATGTCAAATTGGTAAAAGGAGATAAAAATAAAGGGACGATATGTAATGTCCTCATTTTTTTATTTTTATTTTTTTTATTTTTATTTTATTTTTATTTTATTTTTTGGAAATGTCCTCATTGTTGTTCATGCTCAGCTCCTTTAAATCCAAACTTAGGCCCTAGTGAAAAGTGAGGTGGAGAAAAGAGAAAATGAGGCGAATGAACAAGACAAGAAGAGAGAGAAAGAATGGGTGTAATCTCCCGTATTTTTAAATATTTTATAAATGAAATTTTATTTTATTTATAATATTTATTTGTATTTTTTCATAATTTAATTTTTAAATTATTAATTTGGGTCAAAAATTATTTTAGGCTAAATTATTTTATGTACTTATATCCTACAATCCATTACTATAAAAACAAAGCCTAACCCAGTTGTTTTTTAATTGGCCCATTATTTTCATGAGGCCCAATTCTATGCTACAATTCTCTCCTATAAATACCCTATGAATCCCCAAATTTTCCCCCACACAAAAAGGAGAGGGCTTTGTAGAAGGCGATTTTTAGTTCCGTAAGTGGCCAACCAACTCGTGTACTCAAGGTACGTACAAGGATACGAAAACCTTGACTTTAGAAGCATGTTTAAGGACTTGGAAAACCTTAGAATCATGTTAGGAAACTTGTAGATTAGTTGGAATTGTATGGTAGTAAGTTTGATTGGTGATTAATGTAGTGATTGGCATTGTTTCATGTATGAGAATTGTGTATTAATTTATCTTGTAAGTATTATTTATGCATTAACATGCAAGATGAGCTTAGAGGCAAAGGTACGTGAATATGTGGAATGAATTATTGTATTACTCGTTCATGATTAATGAAATGGAATGAGTAAAGGGAGATTTAAAGTCTTATAAGACGAGGTTGAGGATTGAGGTGCCTTATGCACTTAAGGTGTTTATACACCGAGCTAGTTGAAGGATTCAATACTAAATATTGTTTGTCACTAATAAATCAAGAATTGAATTGGAAATTTGAATTGTTTGAATGATGGATGTATGATTGGTTGTATTGTTTTGCATTTGAGTCATCACCAAGTTTAAACTGGTAAATCACGTAAAGTGCAAGATGGATGAGCAATAAAACTCTGGATTTGTGCACATCTGGAGTATTGACAAACAGGGGTTGGGGTACACGGGGTATTAGCCGTGTACTTTTCAGAGGCCGTCTGATCTACAAGTCTCTTGTTTTCAAATACTTTTAAAATTATAATGAGTTAGATGAGATCTCATACTAGCTATGGCCACAGAGTCGCGCCCGTCTGCCATTGGATGTTTATTAATGTTTCCGAAAGGAGGCATAGGGTTTTCTTTTATTAATGTTCCGAAATGGAGCATAGGTGGACAACCTGGTCTATTGCTTAATCCAATCAATGAATGAAATGGATTATTTATTATTAATTAGTGAAGTCTTAGTAATGTTAACCATTGAGTCATGTGTTCGAGTCAATGATTATATTGTGTGTGTGCAGATTGATTTTTAGTAACATGCTAGGGCTCTTTGCTATATTTCGTAGCTTGTATATACTCAGCGTTACTGATTGCGTGCTTTTGTGTGTCGTTTCTTGGTCATGGCCTTCGCCTTTTAATGACCCTGTAATGATCCAATTTTTACACTTGTAATATTGGGGAGCAGACTAATAACAGGTCTTACCTAATCAGAACTTGCATCAAGGTGATGGGATTTTGAGTGGAGTGTTGGTTAATCTCACGGTTTATTACGTTTCATAAGTTTGGATTTAATTAAACTTTGGTTTGATTTATTTACTATTTTTAACGGGTTTTGAATAAGGGCCATAATGGTTCCAGCTTGTAAGACTAAATTTGGTTTTGATTATTGGTTTTGAAACTTATTTATAACTGAGTTAGTTTTTCCGCTGCTAATTTCTGAACTAGCCGTAACGTTTGAACACGTGGCGGTAGCACGTCAGTAATTCTCTTGCAAATTGTTAAAGGTATTTACAGGTTTTTAAAGAAAGAATTATTGGGGTGTTACAATAGGCATTCCAATTATTGACCATGCTCTAATTGCAATCGTACTTTTAATTGAGGGATTATCTGCCTCTAATAATTTGAGTCCTGAATGGCTCTAATAACACAGGCGTTGGTATTACATTGTGTTTAGATGATATCATCTAAATACCATCAAGGAATAATATCGATACCAACAAAACATTTTTGCATTCATTGCTACCATTGAATAAGTATTTTGGTATCATAATAATACCATCTATAGTATAAATTAATACCAACGCATGTTATTAGAGTCATTCATGACTAAAATTATTCCTCTGATTGAGGAAGATTCATGAGCTAATTAACGAATCTTCAACCCAGACTAGGGTAGACGTGAAATGACACAACAAAAGATTAAACGAGAGAAGTGGCGAAGTGCACACCACCAAATAAGGATTATAAATTAACTAAAGACATTGAAAAAACAAAATTTTGAGCATGATCATCGTGAAGTAGTGCACAAAGGTAAGCATGAACAGGTTAATTACAATCAAAGAAGAAAACCCCATTCACTCAAATATGCACCAACAAAATCAGCCTTAGTTAAGATTAGGACTATGAATGTAACTATAATGCAGATAAAGTGGTATTCCTCTGAGATGAATGCAGCATCCGTTTCGGCCATTTGACAAACCTGCTTCACAGAAACTGATGTCATAATTGTTTTGTTATCACAACTTGCAAAGTCCGACAAAACTATACGTCAAAGCTTGAAAAAGAAAATGGAGATGTAGATATTTGGGAGGGAACTGAAGAGAAATGTAAACTGATGAAGAGACCTCTAATTATTCAATATGCTGCAATGCGCCCTCTGCTGCTCAATCAAGATTATGGGAAAGAACAAATGCACGCTATACATCACGCTTTTGCCACTTCTTGAATATGTTGTAAATGACTTTTACCAGGTGGAATAAATATAAGATCATCCCAGCCAGAATTCTTCTCACTTATCTGTATCCAATATCCAAAAAAAAAACTAAGGTCAACTGAATAAAGATGAATAAATTGACAGGTTGAATTTCCCCATCGTTAAAATGTTAGGAAAATTTTTGGGCATGAATTCTACATATACATTAAGCACTACATTAATAAAATGAAAATTTCATCTAATTTGATGATAGAGAGAGAACGGTCAGAATTCTAATAAAACTAATTTAAATCAGAAAAGAAGAACTATGCAAAAAAATATAGTAGTAGTAGAATAAGAAAAGCCATATAATGATAAAGCACAATACTTACTATTGAAATAATAAATAGGGATATAAGAGAGGGGAAAGAATAATTTAAACTTGTATTTGTATCCGATTTATTGAAAAAGAAATACATAGCAGCATATATATACAGTGCAAAACTAAGCTTAAAATAAGGGACACGAACCCATGATCTTCAATCTATCATGCCTAACATTAACCCAATAAACCCACTACTATAACGAATCCACTTACACAAACTAATTAGTAAGGGTTGACTAACCACTAACAATTTGAAGCAAATATTCCAAAACTTACCTCCATTTTCTTCAAAACATCTTCTAAACTGCCCACCTGTTGACACCCACAGCAACACAAAAAAAAAAAAAAAAAAAAAAAAAAAAAAAAAAAAAAAAGAAGTCTTTGAGCATATAATAACACAGATGATTACAATACTAAAGATAGAGCTATAAGTATTACATATTAAGGAATGAAACACATGGATTATGACTTATTCAACAAAAGGAATACACAAAAAAAGAGATGGAGTAAATAGAACACTAGAATTTCAAAAAACCAGAAGAATCTATTGTTTATTCAGCATTATTGAGAAATCATGTTTCAAAAGTACTTTTAGAAAATATGGAATTTAACTAACAGCATCAGCAGACAATGAACACACAACTGTTGTTTCATCCTCCTGTGAATTATGCATCAATTCTTAAGTTTGGAAATTCATTGATTTTTTAATTAAGGCAATTGATATAATTTCTCATGGTAGATGGAGGTTTGCATCAAAATTATTGGTGGTATGCTTGAAGATCCCATCTTCTGTAAGCAACTTCGTGAATGACCTTATGAGTTTTGCCAAAAATGAAATGCCGATCATGTAGAGCCCAAATGTCGGTTTCAAAACCAAAAGAAGCAAGGCTCCTTTCTTAGAGCATCTCCAGTGGCAAGCTACAAGCCCTCGTAGCTTGCTTTGCCACGTCAACTTTTAGAGCTACAACCTTTTTTTAGCTACACAATACTCCATTGGCAAAACGAGATTGGAGTACCTCAAATGCTCGCTCAACATCTTTCCTTGCACTCTCTTGTTTTTTCTTAAACAAAAGCCTCTTCTAAGGATGCAAAAAGATTTTAACAAATGCATCCCACTCAGGATATATACCATCAACAAGATAACTTAGTTTTAAAAAGCCCGCCTCACAGTGAGGCTCGAGAGTTGGCGCCTTAGCTCTTCGAGGCTCAAAGACCTACAAAAGGCGCGCGCCTTTGCACTTTTTTCTAGGCTGCAACTTGTGCCTTTGCGCTTTATGTTTTAAAGCATCAATAGCTATTGCGTAAGTTTATTTTTCCTAAAGTATACCATGAGACTTTGTTATGTTCAGGTTTTCTTCAATTCTAGTGGAGAAGGAAATCCCATATCCTATAATTCGATTTGAAGAACTCTTGTTATTGAGCACATGGCCCTTTCACCTTTTTTCATAATTTCATTTTAAAACTTATTTAATAGAAATTATTATTTCTTTTCTATATGAATAAAGTGCGCCTCACCTACAAAAGGCGTGCGCCTGTGCCTTGCGCCTAGGCTTCAAGGACTTTTTGCGCCTTGGTGCGCCTTGCGCCCTTTAATACTCAGTGCCATTAATAAACCTCCAGTGCTCGTCCTTGCAATTTCTCTTGATACAAATTTGATCTGCTTACCACATTAAGGTCGCTGTTTGATCCAGCTACACCGAAATATGCGTGCTAAATCCATAGATCTATTGACACAAGCATCATTGTTAGATATCCATAAATCACCTCGAGTGCATTGTCCTTAGCTGGGAAATTTTTCCATGTCCAATGCATACAATCCTGGTATTCCTCATGCATTTTAAGCAATCTTTGGACATCATTAGCATTGGGACTTCTCATGTACACCTCTCTAAATATTTCAATAACACCACGACAAAATTTAAATACACTCCATAACCTTGCTTTCACCAATCTTGATTATCTCGTCATCAGCATTAGCTGGAGTTCCATAAGCTAATATGCAAATAGCATCCGTGCATTTTTTAAGAGGGGACAAAGCCGTTCTTTTTGCAGCATCAATCCTTTGTTGATAACATTCGGAATGATTTTTTAAGGCTTCTACTATTCGATTGAAGAGCTCTCTCATATGAAACCGCCTTCCAAAAAAAATATACAGAAAAATAATCTTTGTATAGGCGTTCTGCACCACCTTCACGATCATGAGGAACAACCTCTCTCGAGGAGGTTTCATATTATGAGATTATTTATCGCCTAATTTCTTCATGTGATTCATCAAATAATTGCTCTTCCCAAAATGTATCCCAATCAAAGTTATTACTTGTAGAATTTGGACTTCTAGACATTTTAAATTAATAATATATGTTAGTGGAGTAATAAAGGATAAATTGAAGGTTTACATGATAAAATTATATGCAAGAAAATATAAAGGTGATCACACGTTAATACAATTATATATATTATACTACTTACTATTGTTTACATACATTTCATTTTAGTTGATTCCCTTCAAAAGTTAGTACTAATTTAACTCTCAAGATCCAGAAGATAAAAGGGTAACGAGGAATTAGTACTATTCTTTAAATGTAAATTCCTTCTCTAAATATACTCTTACTCTTGTATGCCCCGATAGTTAGTTTTCTTTTGCATAACTAACACGTGAAATGTATACTTCTAAAAAAAAATTACAAAATAATTAAAGACCATGTATTCTACTTTGTATTGGATAAGCTAGCATAGTTAAGTACCTTCTCCGTTCTTTTTTACTTTGCTTTATCATGACTATAAATTACAAAAGTTAGTCAAAGTAATTAAAGTTGTTGTATACATATACACTCTCGTGAAAACATAAACGTGTCAACCAAAAAAAATGTCAGTGTATACATATAGCATACCCTCGTAAAAATATAAATAATGTCAAAAATATAAACGCGTCGACTATAAAACGGAAAAAGTTTATAATACTCTTAACCATACATAAGAAAAATTCTATATATATGAGTTAGTTACTTAATCGATCAAAGTTATTGTATACATATAACAAACTTCGATAAAATGGATAAGTTAAAGTTAGTTCTATATTCTCTCCCATCACATTTTTAGCTTAAGCCGAGTTTTTTACTTAACTCTTCAAATGATTTGATGAAAAATGCAACTTCTTTCTCCAAATATTGTGTTTTTCATTGTTAGCCGTGAGTGTTTTTGAGTTTATGGGCAATATAACAAAGAGAAGTAGCAAATTAAAAACAAAGCTATAACTATTAATGGTAGAAAAATAACAAAGAGAGCAATGATGCTACGAACCTTAATACATAACATTAATAATACTTTAAATGTTACAAAAAAAAAAAAAAAAAAAAAAAAAAAAAAAAAAAAAAGAGGAAAAATTTAATAACTTGCTTGTTGAGTTTAACATAAAAGCACCTAAATTATTCCCCTCTAATAAAAACCACTTAAAATACTTTACTCATTAGTCATCATATTTATTTGATTTGTGATCATGACATTCCATACTTGGCCTTAATGATTTCGCATACTTGCTCATGAACTTTTCTAGCTTATTCATCCATATTAAGCGTGTCCTTGCAAGATATCACGAAATCTTGTTGTCGAATATGTTCTTCACACAATGTAAGTCTTTTTTAATGTATATCTTGATAATTACCCCATTTCTCGTAACTTTGCTTTCATTCCTCGCAACCAGTGTATTAAAAAGCGCGCCTAGGCACCAAGGCACAAGGCGATAAGGGGTATGCGCTTAACTTGTCCAGACGAGGTTTTTTTGGTTAGGCGCACTTGAATCAAACTTTAGCCAAATTTTTTTTAATTGGCCATAGCGCACTAAGGCGCTGAGACCTTTTTTATACAATACCCGCAACTGCTTTAGCCGCTTTTTATCCCGTTGGTCGTTTATCTCCCATTTCCACGTTATCAATTTCACTACTATCAGGATTAGAGGAAGAGGTAGTGTAATCTTCGGGAATAGAAATCTTTGTTCTTTTTCAAGAACTACTTTGTGAAGAAACATAATCCTTCCACTTCGGGGCATTTCGAAGAATTTTCCAAGAATGAAGATATGGAAATTTTCTTGTTACGAATTTTGCTGATAAAAAGTTTTTAGGCATTACTAATTATTTGGTCATCGTCATTGCCACCTAGATGAGCACTTTTAACCTGTATATAACACCCGTTAAACTTGCTAACCTTTTATACCGATGATTTGAAGCTTACTCAATGGATATTGGAGGGCCTTCTTTTTTCCACTCGTTATAATACTCTAACGGTATTTATCCAATAATCCACCTTACTTTGATTGGTGCCTTTGATTGAATCAGTTGTGAAATCTTACCAAACCATGCATAAAACTTCGTCCATGTATTTGGTCCATAAAAACTTATGTGTAACTTACAAGTAGCTTGTGCATTTACCTCTTGTAGGTTATCACTTAGAGGAGTGTCATACTCCATTTGAGAATTTTGAAGTGAAGATTCATGGTGCATGCTAGAGGCCCCTACACTTTCTCTTCTTGAAGCATCATGAACCACATTAGATTCACTTGAAAGTGGAGGTTGAGGATAGTAGCTTGACATAGTGTCATGCAAATTAGGCATTGTACTATTGGGGTAATAGTAGCCAGGGTGGTAGTGCATTTAAGGGTAGGAATTTTCGGAGGTGTAATTTTCGGTGTTTGATGAACTTCCCAAAGAACCAAAATATAAAACAAAATAGATTATCCGTATCATCCATCTAATTTTTTTACGAGGAATTAATCGTAGATATGAAAGCATTTATAGATTATATTGCTATGAAACAATATGCTGGCTATGTTTTTAATTTTTAAAATGTTAATTACTTATTTATAGATGCATTAGCTCGTAAAGTTAAGTCAAACATAATATGGTTACAAAATACTAAACATTGGCTAAAATTTTGGCAAAATCCTTTGTTGAAAAAGTCTAGTTTGTTGTTATATGAAGTAATCAAATAATTTTAAATTTAAATATTGTCAAAAAAAATTCAAAAAAAAAAACACACACACGTACAACACCTCCGGGTTCTCTACTATGTCATAAGTCAGTCAAGTCTACCTAGAAAAGAATAAAGATGCTCTTGGATTAAGATGACAGTCAACATCTACCTACATGTCATTTGATAAGGGTGATTTTTTTTTTTTTTTTTTTTTTGGAAAAAGTTAAAAATGATGTTGTATTATCTTTTACAGCAATTGTAAATCACATTTTATGCAAAAGCAACCGTGTACCCCACTCTCCAATTTATTAAAATAATTTTTATTTGCTTAAATTTTCCAAGCAGTGAACCCCACTCACGTTTGAGAGCAGGTATTTCAATAGTGCTCCAATGGTCAAGCAACAAATTTTATATTTTTCAGATTTGCTAGCAGATCCTTAAAATACACCATTGGAGATCCTCTTATGATCTCCAAAAATTATTATCATTTGATGGCTAATAATTAAGCTCTCAAATATTTTGATTCAAGGTCGGGATCTATGTTTGAGTTATGATTCCAAAAGAGATATTAGCCAAAAAAAATGTTAATTAGAAAGTCTGGGTTTCCATGTTTAAGTTCTACATAGCAAGAAGAGAGGCATGATACAACTGAATGAGGAGGTTCTTCCGGAAGCAACTTCAGGTCGGGAGATATGGCAGTGACTCTTCTACCCACAACACTATTATGTCCAGCTTTCTCTTTCACGACACTACAAAGAGCAATACGAGGAAGAGTGCTCCAACAAATTAAGAGAACCAAAAGAAGAAAGATGACCTTGAGCAATGATGTCTTCGATCCCCCCTTACATGTTGATTATTTTGAAAGTCTCAAATGAGCATGAAGAGGATGTATGCTAATCCTCCCCCCACCCCCCAACCCCCCCCCCCCCCCCCGCGCAGCAATGGATTCCCCTAGCTATCCAAGGAAGCTTACATCTAATGTTTGTAATATTTGTTTTATTACGAATTATATTTGTTATTGTTCTCTTGGCTATGCTAGAATGTAGGAATTTTGTAAAGTAGTTGTGTTTGTCAGCCATGAAAAGGACAATGGCTGCAACAGTGGGTAGTCTATTGTATCCTATTTTGTTGTTTGTATTTAAAAGGGCAAAAACATAAGTACAAAAAACAAGAGATCAACCAATCAAAGCCTTAATCCCATAAGTGCGGTCGGCTACATGAACCAAAAGTGATTATTCCGTATAGTCATCCACAAAAAACCTCCTCCATCCCTTACAATCAAATACCTCATTGTCATGCAAATTCATATGCTTCATATCCTTCCTAACTCCTTCCAACCAAATCATTTTCGGTCTCCCTCTACCTCGTTTAACCTCTCCATGATCCCACTTTTCCACTCTTCAAACCATTGCATCCTGGCTCCATCTTACATGCCCAAACCAACGCGAGTGATTTTCCCTTAGTTTGTCTGCAATGCCTGCAATACCCACGTTCTTGCAAATAACTTCATTTTTTATTCTATCTCTTAGAATGTTCCTCACATCCATCTTAACATGCGCATTTCCATAACCTCCATCTTTGGGAGGAAGATCAGTTACCAAAATAAAAGTACTGAAACATCCTAGGATTTTTCCATTGGATTAAGCTAGACAACAAAGGAATGCAATGAAAGTGCCCTTATCATGAAATCAAAGAGCGGATGTTGTTGAGAACTATCTACAATGGTCTCAAAAAAGGTGATGCTGCTTTGGGAAGAAGCTTCATGGGCAAGAAAAATGCTTAAAGGAGGAAGATATAAAGGATAAAACTTCCAACTACCAACAATATGGTGGAGATAGAGAAATGCCTAAAAAAGAAGTAAAGGTAGGAGGTACTCTCTATATGCTCACCAACACCGTTCAAGCTTTGGTAAACAAAATCAAGAAGTTGCAATCCCCATCTTCCTCGCCTCAAGCAGCTATGTTTGAAATTTGATCCATCCATGGTCATTCCACATATGATTTCCCTCACAATGTCAATGTGGAACAAGTTAACTTTCTAGGTTCCAATAGCTAATTCTACTTGCTAGGTAGAGAGGAAGAAAAGAGGTGGGGGGTTGGGGGGGGGGGTGTTGGAAGGAAACATATAGTTTATCATTCCTTATCTTTCAAGGACAGAAATTGAATACTATCAATTTACTAGAAAAAGGATTTTTCCATGTGTGTGAGTATTCCTTTTTGTGGTCATGGGGGGAGATAGGGGACCGCTATGACTTTGCAAAACAGAATCAAAGTCAAACTTTGTATTTTTAAATATATTATACATAATAGAGGCATTTTAAAAAATACATACCAATATGTTCTGAGGTCCCCGTCCTCGCGATGCCCTCAAAGATAATTCTTTCTCTATATCTTCCTGCAACAAAGAAGCATTATCATTGATGAGGATGAACATCATGATAGATTTTTTATTAAAATTAAAAAACACACGCTAGTGAGATGACTGACCTTTCGAAAATATATAGGACAATACCGCTTATTTTTCTTCTTCACAACCAGGAGGTCTGACTGCATTGGCCATTTACGGAAAAGAAAAAAAAACAAGGATTACATAAACGACATAAGTAACAATCACATGCACATTTATACAAGTAATAAAAATTAGGTACAACCAGAAGTATTAAGAGAAATCTAGTCCTGATTCTTAAGTAATCATAATCACTGATTGCAGATCTAAGAGGCCAAGTTTAAGCAGCCTTGATTTTGACGACGAGCAATTCTCCATTACTATACATAAAAAGCTGCTTCAACAATAAACATTCTCGGTTCGAAATCCAAACTGCTAATAAAAGAACGAAACAACCAAGTTTGCAGCAAACTTATTTTAAAGGGAATTGGGTTAATATAAAAATTGAAATATGAAAAGGATTGATATAGGTGGTGAAAGAGATGGCACATAACAAGCAAGTCTGATTCAGTTTGGCGCCTATATAGAAAAGAACCTAATAATCTGCCTTCAACTAATCAAGATCTTCCCTAGTTTAAGCAGAGATCAGAGAAATCTTCACAACAGAAGGTGCAAGAGTAAGACTAAACAGGCCAGTTCAAAAGGCTGGATGAGAAATTAGCCATTTCTCCAGAATAAAAGGGACAAAGAGAACTGTATAAACCCGTACCTATTACGGAACAAACAATAGTGTTCGAGTAAGGTATGTGAGAAGCTAATAATTTATGTGGCCTTGCCACCCACACCGTCACCCAAGAAAACTAAACCTATGTAACTATGTTAAAATAAAGATATTCAAATGAAGATAATTCGATGAACATGTAGCCCCAACAAGAATTGTAAAAGAAAAAGGTCCACATGCCAGAAAACCAACTTAAATTTTGAGATGTGTGTTCTTATGGCTGTCGACCAATAATTAAAATTGAATACATAAATATTCAAAGTGCCAGCAGGTTAGCAGGTGTAATGAACAGTATTTGCCCCTATAGATAGTCTATAGATAGTAGAGGTTAGGAAGAGAGTGGGTTAAGAGAAGAATTGAGAAATCTATTTTAGCTTTACTTAGCTTTGTAAGAGCATCCAGTCTCTTGAATACTGACATCTATTTTACTTTCTGTATTTGTGATTTTTATAAACATCACTATTTTCATACATAAAAATCATTACTTTCAGTTTTTCACATTGTCTTCAATATGCAGATTCATCAGGTACCTAACATGTACAACCAATGACTAAGCAATATCTTGATTCTAAAACTACAACAATTATCATCTTCTAAACTCTAAACATCATTGTTTGACAATTTGAAAGCAGCTTTCATCTCAGTCAGTTTTAATATATAGTACAATAGGGAACACTAGTCAATGTACATCTACAAAAATGCCTAAACCCAAGAGTGGGAGCTTTTTTCAAACATTTTAGCAATAGTATTGCTCAGTACATCTGATGCGGATCAATCATCAAGAATTTAGGAGTAGATTTATATTCTTTAGGATTTATTTTATCGTATTCATATGATTTATTTAGGATAAAGATTAGGAAAAAATATCTTTTTATAAGATATTATTAGAGTTTTTAGGATTTAATTTATCTTTAAGGTTTGTTTATCCTATCAGGCATGGAATTGTATGCCTGTAAATATTTATTTTCATTAATGAGATTATAAAATGTCTTTGAGTTTATGAAAACATGAAAATTGTGAGTTAGTTCGAGTAAATCGAATTGATTTCAAAACGTTCGCTTTTCTTTCGAAACGATCAAAATTTACATTGCTTTTCTTCTTGATTGTGTCGAAAAGATCAAAACTTATTGAATTAGGTTTAACCCTATTTGCTAGTATCCCTTTACGTGGTTTAATCCACATCAACATCATTAAAATTAGATGCAATATTCCAATCTCCCGACTCGTGAAATTTTTAAGGTGGAGGAGGATGTACCATATCCAGCCTTTCATTCTTAAAAAAATAATAAAATAAAGCAGAAAGAACATAACCCAACTTGTTAAAGAACATCCAACTTTTGAGTATTTAAACTAAATTATTTGCTCGTAATTGAATGAGTTTGGTAATTATTTTCCATATTAATAGGATTTCAATTTAGATTTTGCATATTTTCAATTTTTTTAATTCTTTAGAGAGAGAAATAGAAAAATTAAAGAGAGAATTAAAAAATTCGAGAGAGAAATTCTAGAGATTAAAGACGATGAATGCTCACATTCTAAATTTTGTCATGATTTTGATCGCCATTTTGTTAGTGGTGTAATTGATGAATCTGCATGTTGAATTTGAGATCAATGTGACAAATGTTGAAGATGATGTTCTTTATGAAATATTGTTATGTTCATTGTTATTAATAACTCTTAAATCAATGTTGAATCTTAATTTAATTCACTTGATTTGCTTTAATATTACTTATGTCCTTTTTGTATATCTTTTATGTTCTTCTGTTACACCTCTTATGTTCTTTTGTTTTATCCCTTATGTAGTTCTTCCAAGTTTTTGTTCCTTTTGTTAATCTTGTATGTGCTTCAGCGTCGATATTCTTTGAATTTAACCCTTATGTTATTTAAATGTAGCCCTTATGTTCTTTGAATTCAACTATTATGTTCTTTGATGTATTGAGTGATACATAATTTATGTTTTAGCATATGTTATTCTTAAATTGGTTTTTAACGCCATTTTTAATTATTATAATGTTAATTTTGAATATTATTTATTAATTCTATGTTTTTTAAAATATTAATTATCATTTAATAACATGATATAATAATGGACATATGAAAAGAACATAGTGTTAATAATTAATTGTACATTACAAACAAAAATAAAGTACATCATGTTTTCTGATAAAGAACATTATTTTAACAGAATGTTCTTTCTATCTAGGTATATATTCATTACATTTTAACAGTATGTTCTTTTCACTATAACTATATGTTCATTACATTTCTATAATATGTTCATTCTGTTTTTTTTCCTGGAACGGATGCACCATGCACATTGTGGAGGCACCTCTAAGAACCACCTATTGCCCGACTCCTGCTTTTCTTAACAAATTAAGTCAATGTTCAAGATTAAAATAAATAAATAAATAAATCCAAAAGAAGCTTGATAATACAAAAATTCATATCCTATGAAGGCAACAGAGAACATTTCCAAAGAGAACAGGATCAGAAAGTAAACTTGTACAGAAAGTGAGTTAGAGTCCTACTACTACTAGATGAAATGGAGGCTGTTAATCACTCCTTTGATGGCTTCTAAAACTATCTATCCAATTTGTTACTAGACTAACATTCCTAAAATAGAAATGTCATATACTATACTTGGTAAGCTTTTAGTAGAGAAATTCCTAAATTACCCTCAGAAAGTGCATGTAGGGACAACAATTATGAGGTAAACCATGTGCACCAGCTACAATTTCCCTCTCCTCTCCTTAAACATTGAACCAAAGGCTATGGGTCAAGAAAATAGAAACAGAGGAAGTATTAATTATTACGCGACTACCATTTGTGAGAGCTACGAAAACAAAGTATACATGACAAGAGAAAAGGATGAATGGACATTCACATCCTACAACAAGAACAGCTGAAAGCATGCAGAGCTTATAATTATAATCAGACAAGAATGAACTTTAGCTTGTAACCTTAAAGTGACAGAAGCAAACATAGAGAAATTTAGCATACCTGGAATACTGGAACACCATCAAATCCACTTTTTGTCTCCGATGCTTTCAACTGCAGCAAGAAAGTAAACTACTGTAAATAAAGTAGATATATAGCAGCTTAAGATAGTTATCAGAAATTTACAGTCTTTCAAATACCGTGGTTGAGTAGTCAATTCTTATAACTTCCCATATATTTGTAAGCTAACATGGTAAGCTTTCTTCATATATTAAAGAGCAATTACTTTCTCACAGACTTGGTGCCTTAATACTTAAAAAGTTTGTACCTAATGTCAAAGATCCTTAAGATCCACAACAAGTGTCCACCACTATTAAGAGCCACAAGCCCACAACCATCAGAGGAAAATTTAGTTAGAATCACCAGACACGAATGTGAGTGTCCAACACTTCTTCCTAACATACTTGAGGGAGGGCATATAAAATAGTTATGCATCACAGAAAGTGAAATAACCATTGGCAATTGCCTAGCAATATTGAAGAAAATTCCAGACATAAAACACCTAAATCTCATACTAATGAAAATAACTAAAGGTAGGCAGCAGCTAATTAAAAGCAAATATCCTTGTAGTTTTAGGAGTTTTACTTTTGATATAATAGGAATCCTATATTCCTATGTAAGGCAACAATAGGTATTGAAAATTTTTATTGTTAATTTTGAGTTTATATATATAAACGGAAATCAATATGGGCATGCTTGGATTGAGAGTAATGTATTACTAGGGTAATAAAAGCCAAACTAAACAAAATGAATGTAAATATAGGGGAGGAGGTGATGATGATGGAGTGATTGGAAGGAGTTTTATGTAATGGTGATGAGGTGATAGGTAAAGATAGGTGATAGGTTTTACTTATCAAATTGTTATAGACTGAGCTAGGCCACCAGTGGTCCATACATATCACAGAAGAAGACAAGGACAGGGGCCCATTCAAGGGTGTGACACTCACAACAATGCCTGGCAGCAAATGATCACCCAAGAAGGAGAAGAAAGGACAGTTGGAGAAAATGACAAAACCAACAGCCAATTAGAGCAGCAGCCAATTAGGGAATCTTTTTGTTAATGATGTATATGTAAGAAACGGGAAAAAAAAGGAAAAGGCAGGGAAGGATTGAGATTTTGAGAGTAATCTTGGAGAGTTGTGAGCTTAGGCTAAACCTATCATTGTAAAATTCCTTTTTCTTGAATGAAAGCTGCCATATTTTCTCCTCTAAATTTATTCTTCCATACACTTGCTGTGTGTGTGTATTTGCTTGAGTCCATTACACAATTATAGGATAGCATTCTAGCAGCATATCTTGCCTTTGCATCCATGTCTTGTGAAACCATAAAGCAGGACATTAAGACAAGCAATGGGCAAATAGTGCAAATCAAAAGACCCAATAAGTTTGGCCGTGAATAAGGCACCATTCAATTCTCTCCGGCAAAATACTGTTTTTTTCTTTTTTTTTTGGACGAAGCAAGGGGCTGACTTCAAAGGCTGGTAAATCCCTTGTGATTATGAGCTAGCACTCTAACAGCTTAGTATTAGATTAGTTTTTTTATCTTACGTGGACCTTACCTTCAAACTCCAAATTATATTTGGAGAGCATTTTTATCATCTTGACTTCTTGGTGACGAAGAACCTTATCCTTTCGAAGGAGTAGAATTTTTGGCTAAATTTGGCACTTTAAACCTAGATCTCTGTTAGGAAACAATTTAAGCAATTCTTTTAGATAATGTGATGCTCAGTCCAAACTCAAAGGAGTATATGGCTCAAATTTTCTAGAGTTTTGACTCTTTAGTTTTGTTTCTCTAGTATGGTAGACATTTGTAATATATACTAGAAGATTACTCCATGATATAGAGATAGTTTTGACTCTTCTGAGTGAAATAAAATATCGAGAGTCCTCATTGACTATTGTCTTTATTATTCTCTTTTTGACTTTAAACTAGTGAGTGTCCAACAAAGTTTTTGGGCTTCTGCATAAGACACAAACATATCTATAAATGCATGTGTTTTCTCTTGAAAGCCATGGCATGAAGCAGAAACCTTCAATTACCCTTGACTTTATTAATTAAAGTTGGATCAAGCTCCCCTTATCTTGATTTGAGTGAACACTCGGTCAAGAGTAATGCATTTAGGGGGATAAATTAAGGAGAATGCAGCTGAGTGGAAGATGTGATACGAGAAGATATGTAGTGGTGGTGTGAGGAGGGAGGGATGAGAAAACATCACCCTCTAATGCCACCTATGTCAACCTTCCTCTACCTTATTAGTCGCTTATTACCCCTGTTATGCATTATAGCCCCAACCCAACCATCCCCTAAATATTGGTAAGCGGATTTAAATATAGGAAAGTAAGAGCCATACAAATATTCTAACCCAGGTATTTATAATTCTAAATTTCTACCAAGACTGTAGTTTAGGATGAAAGGAGCATAAAATACGGAACCAGCTAAATTGTGACACTAAACTAAAGGATAACAATCTAGGCTTTTTACAAAATTGTAATACAGCTCAGTAGTCAACACAACCAAGTTCAACAAACTAATAGTTAAAACAAAGAGCTTACTTCTAATGCGTTCTTTATTTGAACAGGATCAGGCAAAAAGCGGAATGAAATTCCTTCAACCTTTAACATGTATACCTGCACAATGCACATTGTAGATTGTGGAGTATAAGGAAAATTAGATACTGGGCCCAAGAAGCCAAGAGGAAAAAATGGTGGGGTAGATCAAGGGGAAGAGGAAAATAGAGGGAACAATAATGTACAATCAAGAGACACAACTTACAGCTTTTACAAACTAAAATCACCTCTTAAATATGCTAGTTTGTCACAAACACCCTTAAATTTGACTTAAATCCCGTACATAATTCATAGTATACTTCCTCCAATTTTTTGTCCTTTTCATTTGGAATCATGACACTATACATAAGATGAGAGAATCTTTGAAATTACTCAATATATAAAAAAAAGAACATAGTCATGTTGGGTTTATTTGATTCGTCTAATTAAGCAATTTATTAATGTTCAATTGCAGGTCACACATGCACAGTCAAAATGGAAGAACATTTAGGATCGAAGGGAATATCAGCTAAAGTTCTACCATACATTTCTCAAGAAAATGAACTGCCAAATTTTTCTCATTTAAGGTGGAAAGTCCTCGTCAATAACCAGCTAAGATGTGAAAGCAAAGAATTAATTTGGCTTTTAATTTTTATACAGCAGAGGACATGGATTTCATAAAAAAATAAGTGCTAATATACCTGGATATCCAAATATCAAATACCTAATTGACCATATTGGTAGCGGCAAAGTCACCACTCATCTAACCCCTTATAGAAAGGACATCATTATAGCACTGGCAATTTAGATGTCTTCTACCCAAAACAATTCCTGACCCCCAAAAATAATATTCCGTAAAATAACTAATATTGTAAGCAACTAAACCAAGGGACTACCTGCATTGTGGACTTGTGGCCGAGTACCAAGTTTCTTCAAGAAAATACAAAAATAGACCTAATGATCATAACTCTTTCTACCTATCAGGCTACATGCAAAGAAAATGTTGTAACAATATATTCAAATTTCTCTCTTCTACCTAGACAACAAGTTTGCACCTTATTATGGCATCTCATAGGTCACATAAGTGACATACAACAAACATACCTACAACCATCTCCATATCACAGCTCCCAATTTGCGCTTAACATGTAATTATCTCTTTAAACAATCGCACGAAAATAAAGTTACTCTACCAATAACTATCAACCAACCTTGTCCACATGTTCCCAACTTTCAATGAAGGAAACATAATCAACGAAATTGATTGAGTTCACTTCAACTCACTAGACAGACACATGAAAATGTAAATCAATGAAAAGTTTTCCGCCTAAAGAACAAAGCTTAATACACAACATTTTAGCATATGGTAAGCCAAACTCCCTCAGTCCATAAAAAATCATTGTGTCAATAACATAATTTAAACAACTAACGCGACAATTAAGTCCCGATAAAGGTAGTAACAAATAATTAATATCATAAATTACCTGGTCAAGGCTAATTGGAACAATCTTAGCCTGACTCCGCAACTCCCTCCTCCTTGCCTGAACCTAAAATTCCAACACCAAAAACAAAAACGAAATTCAAATCCCAAAATTCAACAAATAATTCCAAAAATCCTATATAGAAACACAGAATTAAAGATTCAAAACCTGAGCAAGAAAAGCCTCAGCATCCTCTTTACGAAAGCAAAGCAAACCAATAGACTTGGTACCATTATTAGGGTCAGAAATCAGCACAAACTCATTGTTAGTATTGCTAACAGTGAAAACGGAGGTTCCGACGAGAGACTTGGCAACATTGTCAGAGCTCAAAGCGGCATTTTGCAGGGGTTTAGCTTGTCCGACGGAGGCGAATGGAAGAGAGAGCGAAGGAAGAGAGGTGGTGCGCGCACGAGGTGTCGGCGGAGAGAGGGTGGAGAGTAAGGTGCCGGCGAGTCGGCGGGTGTCGTCGAGGCGAGTGGTGAGGTCGGCGCCGAGGCGGTGGATGAATGTGGAGAGTGATAGTAGTGGATTGGTGGTATGGCCACCGGTTGTTGGTGTCGGAGAGTCCATTGCTATTGCTGAAGTATTCAACGTTGTCTTTCTTTAAAGGCTTTTAGTATAAGAATTTTTTTTAATTATTATTATTAGGAAATTTTCATTTTTACCACCTTCAAATAATGACTTTGTCGAATTTACCACCTCCAAAAAAAAAAACATTTACTTTACCACCTCATAAAAAAATTAAACATCAGTTTTACCACCTCATCTGAGCTCAGGTGACGGAAAACGCTTGTGGGGCCCAGCATAACGGCTAGTTTTTGATTTTTTCCCAAATTTCTCTCGATTTCCCTTTTATTTAAACCTATTTCTTCATTTGTACACCAAATTCTTACAGATTGGAGATTAATTTTTGCGATTTTCTTCACAAATCAGTATTTTTGGGCAACCTTAACAATCCCAAACCCTCTAATTATCAAACAATCAATTGAACTCCTCGACAACAAGCATCAAAAAGGTAAGCCATTGTCGTTAATTCTCTAGCAATTTTCGTGATTTCTGTTGTAATTTTTTGGCAATTCGTTGCGTGATTATGTTGCATTTGCTAAGAGTAATTGAAATTGGGCGTTTTGTGAGGTCAATTAAACCCCAATTTCAATTAAAATACTTAGGGTTCATGTAAGATTAAATTAGATTGGGGGTTTTTGTTATGTGAATTGGCTACTGAAATTAGGGTTATATTATGGTGATTGTGTTCAAATACAATTAATTTCATTCTTGTTCTTACTGAATTTCAGAAGGGAATGTCTTCAGTTAGCATGTCACCCTCAAAGGAGAAAAAATGCCAATGTGGAGTTCCAATGTCTAGGCTGACTGCTTGGACTAGGGAGAACCCTGGACGCAAGTTTAGGACCTGCAAATTCTATGATCCTGTGACTGAGTCAAGGGGGTGTAAAGCTTTTGAGTGGGTGGATCAACCAGATGGAACACCTTGGCAAACAGAGGTGATTAACAACTTGCTGCTGGACAAGAAACTAATGAAGGGAGAGCTGAATGACATGAAGAGGGAAGTTGATGATGTTAGTGGACAAAGGAGGTGCTTGCTCAATGAGATTGACAGCTTGAAGATGAAATGCAAAGCTCTTAGCTCAGACAGGAAGAAGATGATCAAGGAAGTGCATGGCAGCAATGCAACAACAAAGAAAATGCTCACAGTACATGCTATTGTTGTGTTTTGTTGTTTTGGTTTGGTACTGGCTATGTATTTTAGATCTTAGGTTCATTTAGGAATGCTTAGAAACAAAAAAAATACCCACCTTATGTTGTGCTTTGTTGAATTATTATGTGTGGATGTTGGGATGACATTTCTTGTACTACTTTTAACTAAATCAATGAGAAATGGAACTTTTTGGTAGAAACATATCACATTTCGTATTAGTACTTGCAACACAATGTTTTTAATTGTTTTACATTGGCTGAGACAAAAGTTAAGGCACCTTTGTGCAAAATCATTGTTCAACTATCATTGTTCAACTACCAAATAAACTTGGCTGTCTATTACAAAATACTAATGAGTAGACCTAGGGTCACAGTTGATTGAGATCCTTGTCCTTCTTGCTTGTCATTACATGAAGCTTGGACCTGGTCTGTATTTTGACTTTGGGAGGAGTAGTTGTTGGCACTCTTGTGGGCTGACTCAGGCTCCTGTTGCTCCTGGTAACAGGCTAAGTTGGCAAAGGCTCTGTTCTTGTTGCAGGCTGGCTTGACACAGCAGTTGCAGGTGCAGCATTACTTGACCCAGCCTGTGCTGTTGTTGGAGGCTGATATTGTGGCAACTTCAGTGCAGCCTGCAATCACAGTATGACAAGACTTAGAAACAAAGCCACTAAATACACTCAAGTCACAAAATACACAAAATACATGTCTTGCTGCTTTCTCTTCACTTTTCTTTCTCTGTTCCTTAAGCCAAGGAGTCTGCATCTGTGGCCTCCCACCCTTTGGATTTGTTGCACGTGGGTTAGGCTGTTCTGGTGCTGCTTCAGCCTTGCATGTTTTGGCAAAGTGGCCAAACCCACCACAGTTCTTGCATTGTTTCTTCACCTTTGGCTTCTTGCCCTCAGGTGCTGCAGAAGTGCCCTCCCCTGGTTCAAGCTTTCTCTTTTTTGCCTTAGGTCTTCCTGGCTGCACTTTCAGCATAGGTGGCAAAGGCTGTCTGAGCTTGACCTTTTCCCAATTCTTAGGGTCAGGCATTGGTTGTATTGGGTTCTCATATGCAGCCAAGTATGTCACCCTATAGTAATGTGGGTGCACGTACAACTCAGGATCATCCCTTTTGTTCATTATGCAAGCAAATGCATGGACACAAGGTATTCCTGTCAACTCCCATCTATAACAAGTGCATTTTCTCTCTTGTAGATCCACAATGCACTAATCATCCTTGTATTTCACCTCATAAATTTCATCCCTTGAAGCTGTAACCTCACATGTCATGGCATACTTCTCCAACCCATCAAAGACTTTGTTGACAAATGGGGTTAGTAAACCTTCCCAAGACTTTGCTGCCTCCCATTTGTCATTACTCCTCTTCGTCATATATCTTCTAAGCCATTCCATTTGAGTTAGAATAGGCTTGTCTCTGGCATCTCTAATCACTGCATTAAATGTCTCACACATGTTGTTTAACAACATGTTAGACTTGCAGTTTGTAGAGAAAGCATGCCTTGACCAGTGCTGGGGGTCAATGTTTGACAGCCACTGGTATGCTTCTTCATCCAAAAAATTGATACTTTCCATAGCAACTTCAAACTCAAACTGATACAACCACACACATGACAACCATTCAACACAACATAGACACATGGCATACAGTTTTCACAAAATAGAAAGACATGCAAATATGTGCAAAACTAAATGTTCCTAGCATACATTATAGTTCACCATAAAACTGACATAAAAGAACCTAAATAGAAGCTTACCAGAGTGCTTGCCCTAGCAGCAGCCCAGAACAATTCCTTGAAAGTTGCACCATGAAATTTCAGTTTGAAATTTGACCAAATATGCCTCACACAAAATCTGAGCTCTGCTTTGGGGGCCACATCTGCAAATGCTTCTATGAGACCCTACACACAAGGCAAAACTAACAAGTTAGTGTACAGAAAATTCAAATAAAGCAAAGTAATTTAAACACAAACACAACCCACTTACTTTCTGTCTGTCAGACATAAAAGTCAAGCCATCTCCTTGGTCATACACACAAAGTGCCTTGAGCAAGCTCTCCAGAAACCAGCACCAGTTGTCCTTGTTCTCAATCTCTGCAGTTGCCCAAGCAATTGGGAAGATGGCATTATTGCCATCTTTTCCAACTGCAACCAAGATCTTCCCAGGGTATGCCCCTTTTAGATGGCACCCATCCACCCCAATTACTGGTCTGCAACCAGAAATGAATCCATCCCTAAGTGCAGCTAAGCACACAAACATCCTCATAAAAATTGGTCTTTCAATTTGATTAATATCATCCACCACCACATTACACTCACTCCCTGGGTTCCATTTCAGCAGTGCCTTCCCATAGTCCCAAACCTTTGAGTATTGCTCTGATGAAGAGCCATATATTATAAGCTTTACCCTACTTCTAGCCAACCAAGCCTTGGAGTATGTAATTTTGATCCCCAAGTCATTCAAGGCCCTGTCCTGAATCTGTTTAATCTTCCATCTGGGGTTGCCCCTGAACTCCTCCAAGTACCTGTCAGCAAGGAACTCTGCTGTCACCTTGTTGTTCATTTTACTCCTAACACACCTATGCTTCAGCCTTAGTGTCTTAATTTGCCAAGCCTCTGATTTCACAAGCCTTTTTTCATAAAACTTGAACCTACACCTAACACCCTTACTACATGTACACTTCACTATCCTACAACTGTTCTTGTTATACACACACTTGCATTTCCTTTTGCAATATGCTGTTAGCCTCTTTGAATCATTGTGAAGAAGGTAATACTCATACCTATTTTCAATTGCATGTTGTCTCAAAGCTTTTCTCATTGTTTGCACATAACTGAACCTTTTACCAACTACAAATTTGATAGCCCTTTCAAAGTCTGTCTCAGGGTTAAACCAAGTAACACTACCCTGATCATCATCTGAATCACCTTCCACACTCTTTAGCTCATCAGAATCACAAGCTGCCTCCTCTTCAACCCTCACTTCAATTTTCTGTAGATTTCTTTTTATGTCAAACCCTGTGTCCTCATCATCACTTTGATCCCCTCCTTCAGTAACTCCCCTCAAACTGCCTTTCACCTCACTGTTAATATGGTCTAAATTTTTCTTCAACCACTGTTCATCATCATCAGAGTATAAGTCCTCCTCTCCCTCATCAACTTCTAACTCAAAATTACTCAACTCAGAATCAGAAGACTCTGTATCACCATCCTCATCAGTAAACACATCACTGACATCACTTAAGCTCCTCACTCTTTCTTTTATTTTTCTCACTAAATTAGCAAAATTTCCAGTCTCATCCCCAACCTTAGCCTTACCCTTATCTGCAGCAGTGAGTTTACCCTTCCCTTTATGTGTATTAGCATTCACTTTCTCTGCCCTAGGAAGCCTCTCCTCAGCCTCTCTGTCATGTATAACAATGCCTTTTAACCTAGGGATTTTCCTAAATGGCTCTTCTTCAGTGGGCTTACTAAGTTCTGGGCTGGGTTTATATACTTTAGGCCCACCAAACCTCTTTTTCAGTTCCTTCCTTTGTGCAGGGGTTAGCTCATTCCCAGCTATACATTTGAAGGGCGTTTTGTTAGTCCCTTCAATTGGCTCATGACTGGTAACATACATCTCACATGCCCCTTCTTTGTTAACAGACTCTAGGAAACCATTCACCTCACCATCAACAAGCTCCCTTTTACCATTCACCCAAGACTTGCCCTTTTGTTTATACCAGCAACTAAACCCCCTAGGAACCTTCACATTCACATACACAAACCCATGTATAGCTGCTTGCCTCAAAAAGTGTACATCTATCTTATTTTTTTCCACTTTTCTCATCCAATAAACCCACCCACCATCCCAAGTTAACACCCTCCTATTTTTACCAGCTAAAGAAGGTATAAAGGCACCCCCTACTGTAATTTTTAAGTCCACTGTGTCCATTCTGTAACAACACCAACAAAAGCACACACAACAATAACCAATTTCAGTAATTACAGTAAACAACAACAACCAATTCACCAATTACAGCAAGTAAAAGCAATTCACATTGACTATGCACTAAATTAACAGTAAACAAGTAAATCTAATTAACTAATTATTTAACAAATGCACACTCTAATTCAGTCAAAGATTCGCATAATTAGGGTTTATAATACTTTAATTCACAGATTCCCAAAAAAGGCATACTTTACCCCAATTGACAACCATAAATCCAACGAAATGTACTAATAAAGGGTTTAAAGTACCTCTTGTAGTCAGGAATCTCGATTTCTGTCAGCAAATTACCAAGCTTTTGGTCCCCTCACCCTGTGGAAGATGACAAGAGAAGCTGATGTGTCGCAATTTTGTGGTTCCAGCTCGATTTCAACCACCCAAATTGATCTAGGGTTTCAGTTTTTACAGAGAGAAAGAAAAATCAAAGGAGAGAGAAGCAGTTACAGTGAGAATCAAGAAAAATCAAAGGAGAGAGAGACGAAAATTGATGAGGAAGTGAGAAAGTTGGTGAGACATTGATTATGGAAGGTGGAAGGTAAGAAAAGGAGGAGACAGAGGGAAATCGATTTTAAAAGAATTAAATTGGATGGAAGTGACAGTTAACTGGGCCCCACAAGCGTTTTCCGTCACCTGAGCTCAGATGAGGTGGTAAAACTGAGGTTTAATTTTTTTATGAGGTGGTAAAGTAAATGTTTTTTTTTTGGAGGTGGTAAATTCGACAAAGTCATTATTTGAAGGTGGTAAAAATGAAAATTTCCTTATTATTATTAGCGTTAAAAAAATTAATAATCTATTACATATTACTAAAGGTGAATAAGAGGAACACTTTGCAGCATTATGTTAAAGCCATAATGAACAATTATATCTAAATTAAATAATAACATTTGTTTTACATAAAATCTAACATTCAAAAAATATCAATTGTTCATTATAACTAATATATATGGTTATATATTTCATACTTGAATAATTGGTGTGTCGAGTCCTTATATTTTTTATACCGTTTTTATAATTTGGTTTTTTGTTATAATTATTTAATAACCGTGCATCTATTGCACGGTATTTAACCTAGTTACTGCATTAAAAGTGATTAGTACTC